GCACCAGGGAAATGAAAATGAATAAGATACAGAATGAGATTCAGGTTGCTCAGTCAAGTCAGAAAGATGAAAAACCAAATCCCACATTGTCCACATATTATCAGTTCTGTGATGGAGGTAATTATAGTATGCCAGAGAGAAAACTTGTAAAATGCCATGACCAGTGAACCATTATAAGTTATGTATATTTGATGTAGTACCCAGAACAGGCACTAAAAAAGCTACACAAAGAGAAACACTCAAAAATACTGCAAATAAAAATGGAATTCCTACCGGAAGACAGAAAAAGAAAATATGATAAAAAAGTAAAGTGGCAGACCTAAGCCCTAACGTAGCAATAATCATTAAATGCAAATGGTCTAAATTCATCAATTAAAAGACAGACACTGGCAAAGTGCTTAAAAATATGACAACTATATGTAGTCTATGAGAAACTCATTTCAATATAATGATATAGGCAGGCCGAAAGTAAAAATTGGAAATAGTTACATTACACAAACACTAATCAAAAGAATGCAGCAGTGGCTATATTTATCAAGTTGACTTTAGAACAAAGAAAATTACATTACCTGAGATATAATGGAACACTGCAATGATAAAAGGGTCAATTAACCAAGAGGACAAAGAAGTCCTAAATGGTATGCACTAATAACAGAGCTGCAGAGTATGTGAAGGAAAAACTGACAGAATGGAAAGAAGTAGATTAATCCACAATTACAGTTGGAGGCTTCGACACGCTTCTACTAACAATAGATAGAGCAACTAGACAGAAAATCAGCAAGGACATGGAATAACTCAACAACACCACCAACCAACAGGACCTAACTGACATTTATAGAACACACCACCCAGCATCAGCGGAATACACATTCCTTCAAGTGCCCACAAGACAGATACCAATATGGACCATGTTTGGGGCCATAAAAGATACTCAACAAGTTTACAAGAATTGAAATGATAAAGAATGTGTTCTTTAACCATAACAGAACCAAACTAGAAATCAGTAAAAGATCACAGGAAATCTCCAAACATTTGGAAACGAAACAACACATTTCTAAATAATGTTTGTGCCAAAGAGGAAGTCTCACTAAATTGAATGACAATGAAAATGCAACATATCAAAATTTGTGGGAGTTACACCAGTGCCTCAAATTGATAATCTAGGCTTCCTCCAGAAACCAGATAAAGAATAACAAATCAAATCCAAAGCAAGCAGAAGGAGAGAGAATACAAATAAGAAACTAATGAAATTGAAAGCAGAAAAACTGACAGACTATCAAAGTAGCAAAAAGCTAGTTCTTTGAAATGATCAATAAAACTGAGAAACCTCCAGCAAGACTTATGGAGACAAAGATAAAGATCAGTATGAAGGATAAAACAGGGGCTATCAGTAGAGCCCCGAAAGTGCAAGGACAATAAAGAAACACCACTCCACACACATAAACACGACCATGTAAATGGCATGATGGACTAATTGCTTGAGGAGCACATATAACTATAATGTTTCAATGTGAAATAATCTGAATAGCCCTTTAATTATTAAGAAAATAGAATCTGTAAGTTTTTAAATCATGAGGCCCACATGGTTTCACTGTTGAATCCTGACAAATATTTAAAGAAGAGTTAACATTAATTTTATACAATCTCTTCAAGAAAAAAGAAGAGTAGGGAACACTCTCCAATTCATTGTATAGGCTGGTATCTCCCTCCTATCAAAACCAAAGACAATGCAGAAAAGAGACCCACAGGACAATATCCCTCATGAACATAAAAAGATAAATATGAGGATGCAGAGCAACTGGAAGTCTCTTACATTGCTGGTGGGAGTGTCAACTGTATAATCGCTGTGAAAAATAGTTTGGGATAACCTATTCAAGTTGGCCAAACACACCCCGTGGCCCAGCATTTCTTTCTACTTTTGGGCACAGACACAACAGGAATGTGCCCATGTGCTCACCGAAAGACGTGTACATGAACATTAATCACAGTGTGATTCTAACAGCCCTGGACTTCCTCGTGCCATCAGCATGATGGGTAAGTCACGGTGTACACATGGAGTGAACTGTGATACAGTAATAAAAGGAACAAATTTCAATGACACGCAATGTGGATGAGTCTCACAAAGATAATGCAGACTTCAAGAAGCCAGAACTAAAGAGCACATCTGCTGAACGACGCCACTGATATGAAGTCCAAAAATTAGCAACATTACACGTTAGCAAACAAGAAAGCAGTTGTTCTCATTGAGGGCAGTGACTGGGCAGGGACATAGGGGACCTGAGAGGTTGGTCATGTCTGCATCTTGATCTGGGTGCTGGTCACATGGGTAGTTAAGTCATAGTATGTGGTTTATGAATAGTCATCAAGTTGTATTCTTAGGTTATATGTGGTTTTCTCTATGTGTCTGCTTTATTCAATTATAAGTTGACTAAACATGAAAAAAAAAGTCTGTTGGATCTGGTGACATGAAGATAATGGTTGAACACAAGTAATGAGGGAGTGGCAGGCTTTGGGGACCACACATCAATTCCTATTTCACAAAGGGTGACACTGGAGCAGAGAGCAGTTCAGGGATGGGGCCAAGGCTGCAAGGCTGCTGAGTAGCAGGGCAGGTATTCGAATGCAGGGAGCAGGGCTACTGAGCTGTGCTTGCACACTAAGCTACCTGTTTCTTTACCTTAGAGAGCACAGAGGCCATGAGGATAACAGAGTACTCAAACGCAAGAGAGTCTGAGGCTACTTTAGCAATGGCAGAAAGGGGTAGCAACCTTGTGTAGCAACCTCAGGAAGGTGATGCTCGTGTAGATGTCTCTTTATCACAGTGGCTGTACAGGCCAGCGAGCAATATTCACAAGGACAACTGGGTATCATGCAAGAGAAGGTGAAGCATATTAGTTTACTATGTTTACCAAGATGGGAATATATATTTTTGAAAGATTTTGGGTTAAGGGACAAACTTCGAAAAAAACATTTGCATTGTTTAATTATCTCCCAACACCTGAAAAACGCAGTGGGTGTATGTGTGTTGCCTGTGTACACAGGCTCCATCCACTCTTTTGAGGTACATACATATTTTGGTCTTGGAAAGGAAAAAAATATCGTATCTTTAGTCTTTTTTAGAAGCATGGGAATTACGATTTTGTGATTAAGCCAGGGGATAATCACAGGCCCGAGCCGATAACTTAATTAGTGGTAGAGTGATCACTGAAGCTACCACACAAAACTGCTGTGTGGAGCCTTAATTAAAAGAGAGGAGATTACTGAATAAGTCATTCATTGTCAGCTGCTTTCATTGCAAAAGGTGGGAAGGTGCACACACATAGGACCAAACGCAAGAATAAAGGATCTGACCTGCCTGTTCACAACATCACATTACCAATGGCTACTGATTGGGAAGAAGTTACTAATAAAGCCAGATGAGTCAACTAAAAGTTTTTACTGCCTTAGGGAATATGTCTAGCATATCTTTGTTAACTTGTTTATTTTTGTTTGTTTGTTTGTTTTTTTTTTTTCCCAAATAAAGTATTCACTGGAAACATTTCCTGGAACTAACTCAGGAAATTCTGTCCAAATTCAGAAAGACTTGCTGAATGAAACAGTCTGCAAATCTCTTTTTCTAATATAAAGTATGTTCAATCTAAATCTTTGCCATGATTAAATACACAATGCACCTATCTGAACCTCTCTGTGGGAACACATGCACAGGATGGAATCATTGGCTTTCAGCTACATGGACAAGGAACCAGAATCAGGAGTGAAGTCATTCTCCAGTTCTAGCAAGATCTCTGTGTTGTGGAGAGCTGACCACCTGTTGTGTACGCCTAAAATAAATTAATCGATCTCTAGAAACTCAAGGCCTGTGTGGTCCTCCTTGCTCAGTCAAACTTCCTTCACTTGGGGTTTTGTCCACTTGTCAACCTAGTTTCCAGATTCACCTAGTTCTACCTCACACCCAGCTCCCTCTTTGCTACCCCACCTCCTCTCACAAGGTGAGCAGACTCTTATATGATCCCACAGCTACCTTCTGCCCAGATGTTCTTCCTGGAAACGTCCTTTGACTCATATCACCTCTGTACGCTCACTCTGGGCATTATTTGCATTCAAATATCTAGACAGCTGCATTGTCTGCACAGTGTTCTATGATATCGTTATATAAAATTCACTCTTCCAAGATCAACTGAATAGCACAAGTGTCTTGTAGCGCATGTGAGAATGACTTTAAAAAACCTCTCTGAATCGTCTATATACCTATCACATTTATCCAAACCTGACAAAGTACAACACAGGTAATGAGAAAAAAGAAACAGAAGGATAGGAAAATCTGTCTTTCATGTTTTCAAACTTGCTTTAAAATACAAACATTTCCTGAAGTGTAGAGGTGAAAGTGATGAATGTTAAGTGGATATTTTTTCATCTTAACTGACTGATCAAAGAGTATTTATAAACCCCTGACTCATGTCTCGAGCTGATAAGTCAACACCAAAGGAGAACATTTCAAGCTCATTTATCATTTAAGACAAACAGGCCATTCTGAGCATGATTATTTTTTATTCATCATTTTGAGCTCACCTCTACGTTTGCTTCTTCTCAATGTTAATAATATCTGTATAAGACTTCTCAATATTTAATGCTTACAGCTTGCCCGTTGAATGCTGATGCGGTTAAGATCACAGGTTTGATCTCCTGAAGGCCAGTTAGCTTTCCAAAAAAAGAAGCTCTATTTCACATTGAAGTCTGGCCCCAGTCGACTTCCCTATAAATAGCTGTTGTTGGTTTCAATGCCATAAAAAGCACAGAATTACAGTTTTAAGGGAAATTGAGGCCAAGATATTTTAACAGACTGGCCCAATGGCACAGAATCTCATAAATAGCAGAGGACACCCAGCAGCCTAGAACACCACAACTTGGCATTTGTACGAATTGGTTAATACCCAGGACAGTCTACCAGGCCAGTGTCACGGTGTCACATTCAAACAATGCAACATAAAAGACAATCTTACCTGTTCATTCTCCTCTTCATCACTACTTAGCTTAAGGTCATCTTCTAGCATTCTGCAAGAAGGAACAAAGAGGTACAGATACTTAGCAAATACAAAACAGTTTAGCATCAAAATATCTTTATTAGAGCAATGTTTGAGCAGTAAGCCCGTTTGATTCGCTAAATAAAAAAATTGTTCTTTTTAAGCCATTTTCCTATGATGCAGATAGAAGTAACAAATTGCCACATCATGAAAATGAACCATCGTCATAGTCATAGGATGGGCTGTCTAAAAAATGTGAGGCCAAAAACCAGAGTCCAACGGATGCCCTCCTCGTGAAGTTTAATTCCACAATTTGCTCAGTGTTCTCCATGTGCAGGTGCTGCACTGTCTCCTCTTCTGTTCATGTTGAAGAGAAAGAGACGGCAACGACGATGCCCATTGTTCCACCAGCCAGAGACCTGGAGGAAGCATCTGCCCCAAGATCCTGTTGGATGAGGGAAACCAAACAGAAAGGGACTTTCTGGAAAGATTCCGAGGGCAACTCTCCAGTGCCCCCTGCATCCCTCAGATTCGTTATGACAGAGCATATTTTTGGGTCCATAAAAGTTAAAGTGAAAAAAGAGAAAACAAAACTTCAAACCCTATTATTTCTGATAATGATAATGTGATATTCTCATCAGCCTTGCTAAATTGTTTCTTTATAGTTTTGAGATTAAGTCATTTCAAAAGATATCTCACTCAGAAGTGCAGTCTATAACATAAATGAATGCAGAGCTGTTCTGTTGGGGGCAGGGAGAGTCCATTTCTGATGGACTCCGGGATACCAGGGATCAGTCCAAAGGCCACTAAGCCCATGTGCTCAAAAGGCCTCACTGTCCTCCTTGAAATCACCTTTCAAAGACTATCCCCTAAAATGTGCCTCGATTATTTTAAAAGCCAGTTATAGGCCTGCCATCAATATACTTGCCAGAATATTTTAATAAGTCATTGCAGTGACTTTTGGGGTGAACTTGGGGTAAAGACCTGCCAGGGTGGGGTGTGGGCTGAATTCTGCCCCAGATGGCTGCGTGTTTGGGGCAAGTCACTTAACTTTCCCACGCCCAGCCCCATTTCTCTATTTGTAAAATGAAGGGTGGTTCTGAGCAATTTCTTAGGTCCAATCCTGCTTTAGATTTTGTGAGTCTAGGAAATAAATTTCCCCCCTATTTTGTAAAGCAGGACAACTCTTGCATTGTTCTAGAGACACAACTGGGGAACTGCTAAGCAATTCTGGGGTACTACTGAAGCCATTAGGACACCATACATGTTTCCACACAGGCTACAGCTATTCTACCAGCAGGGAGAAGTATCATTCTTTTATTATTCAAACCTTAAGCAAACAAACAAAACAACAGCAAAGACTGCAGAGCTGTGTCCCCAGCGGCTCCTTATGTCTTTCTGGCACATCCTTCATTTCCCCTGACCTTGAAAACTCATACACTTGGCTTCAAAGAGAAGAGACATCATGGTGATTCACTGGAGCATTTGCTTGTGAAGAATCCAGGAAGGGACTGTGTTTTCTTTGTCCTTGAGCCCCTGGTAACTAGCACAGTGATGACACAGGGTACAATACCAGTTTGCTGGCTAGGCCGGGGCACCTTCCTCAAACTGATTTCCTACCAAAAGGTACACATGCCTTTCTGACAAAAAACACAAGAGAAGCAGGGTATGTTCTCCCCTCCATCCCTCACTCCCACTTTTGGGATAAACTGTCAATTGCAATTTGGTTTAATCTCATGACTACTCTGTGAGCACTGGGTGTTCTGAGTGTGGGTGGTCCCGACGGTGGGTAGGAAACGGGACGGGAGGACACACACGATCATTGTTAACAACCCCCTTGCTGTTACATGGGAGTCCTGTCAAGGGTGATTGAGAAGTTCCATCTTTATATGGGAAATTACGTGTACAGATTTGAAGGTTACTGTCAACCAGAGCAGGAAACCCCAGCAGCCACAAAGCAAGGGATCTCGGCTTGGTTGCAAACCAGCCTTGTGACTCTGTCACTGCATGAAGCTGGTGTTGCTGAAAGTAACCACGATAGTAAAAGCAGTGTGTGAGGGTCTCTCCTAAGGCAGGGACTACAGTTCAGCTTTGTTTATTTTAAGCATGCACCACATATGAAGATACACACACAGGTCTGGTGGAATGTCACATCACCTCTCGTGTCCCCTGAGCCCAGGCAAGTCACACCTCTGGGCCTTGGCTTTGTCCTTTCTGCAAGGAGACTCATCTACCTGGTCATCATGTCCAAAAGACAAGCCGTCAGAGACCCCCATGCTTTGTGAACAGCAGTCACCCTATTATTGAATTTACCTCTGTTTTAATAAATGAGCTTTTTTTGTGTGTGTTTCTGGCTGAGATCTAAAAACTGGGGATCAGATGTAAGAATACCCTATATTCAAGAGAGAATGAGAGAAGTAAGAATCCAATTAAACTTCAGAATATCTTGGAATATGAGGAAATAGTAATGGAAATGCCAAGCCAAACAGATACACGCAAACCATGGTGATCTTAGGTGCTGCCATTCCCACATGTGCAACCAGACCTGGAATGGGCCTTCACTGCCACCCTGAGCCCCATCCCCTAACAGACACACTGGTGAGGTAGCTGAGGCTCAGCCCATCCAAGAATGTGATGGCACTTCTGCTCTGTTCTCATGGTCACAGTGGAGTTGCTGCAACTCAACCGCCAAAGCACAGCGCTTGTTCCCATTCACCGCCCTCTTCAACTCCGGTGTGGCATTCATGAAATGCTCACTTTTTAATACTGGAAATAGTGAAGTGGCCTCTGAGGGAGCCTGAGAGGGAGCTGAAGTGTATCTGAGGTGATAGCTGAACAACAAACATGGTTAGAGAAGAAAAGAGAAGAACTGAGACATCCACAGCATCCAAAGAGCTGTCAGTGCTTGGCGTGTGGCAAGCGGACTGAGGCCATGGCTGCCTCCATCAAAACGTATTGGTGGCACTACTGTAGCTGTGCCCCCAACTCCAATCCTACCCACTTGACAACACTTTTATCATGTCTATTTCTAGAAGGAAACGGACTGGCCTAGGTATATCAGACAAGAACAAATAACAAATAAGGAGAAGTTTTAAACCAAGAGTAGATGAAAATGCAAATAAGGGTTGGTTAGGCCACAGGGCAAGGGTGGGGATCTCTGACTCCATTTTTGGAAAAAAGGCAGGTCAAGACTGATGCTCGAAGGGGCTGAGGACAGTTTGGGATAGTCACCTGCACTTAAGTGCAGGGCACCCTGCTGGCTTGCATGGGCACCCCTGCACCTGAGCACTACTGGCCTTCTGCCCATGATGTCACCCACCCACTTACAGCCACTCCCTTTTTATGTTCCCTCAGCCCCTCTCTCAGGTCCCTCAGAGCCTAACGAGGTGACGAAACTCCAGATGCACTGCGGCAGCTCTCAAGGGTGAATGGGTGTTAACTGCCAGGCCAGTTGAGCACTGTCTAGCTGTCACCTCCTTTGATCCCCACAGTCTCCTCTGAGGTGCACGCCACTGGGCCGCAGGCCCGGTGGCCAGAGAAGGGACTCTGCAGTCTGACTGCCTGGGATGAGGCCCAGCTCTGCCACTCAACTTGCCGAGGGATCAACACCAGCCTCAAAGCCTTTTTCAGAGAAATCATTACACAGTCCTCGAAAAGTGCTTAGCACAGGACCTGGCACAGGCTGAGCATTCGACAGAGGTCATGTTTGTTAACTTTGTTGAGGGCCACACTTTACAGCCTTTTGGAAACTTGCATGGGTAAACAGCTTGGGAGAGGAAGACGTTTCTGTGACAAAGCCTTAAAAGCTGAGCCATTTGCTCTACTTTTAGGCCATTTTGAAAACACGATGTTCTATAGAGGCTGTGGATACGGGTAGATTTTAGGTTATCACAGCTGCCATGGTTGACTGATCTGATGTGACTTTACATCCGTCAGACTGAGCGCACAAGGAGATCTACCCTGGGAGCCAGTGGTCAGCCACGTGACCAGGAGTCCCTTAGCTGGACCCACTGCCTGATAACAACAGGGACATTGAAATAAAATAGACATTGAGATGAAACTTTAAGATTTAAGGCCAGAGAGCAGAGGTCCATCCAGCAGTGCAGTGAAACTTAAACTTTATGTCTTGAACACCTGAGGAGCTGTTGGAACTGCTGTCACGAGCATGCCACGTCATGCCTGATTGTGACTTCCTAGTGGGGTCTATACCGAGACCAGAGACACGTACAGGACACAGCAGGGTTTTTCAAATAAGCAGTTAAGTGACTGGGATTCTATCCATTTTTCACCAGGGCACTATGTCACACAACGGTTTCTTAGGATTATTGTCCTAGGCATGTTACAAAACCCCAAACACCTGACACAAAGGCTCAAAAGGGTTTGAGCCCAGCTCAATGGTCTTAGCTTTCACACAGGGAGAGAGGGCCTCGCATGAGCCACACAGAGGAAAGGGTGCGACGGAGTCTGTTTGGAACTCTGAAGAAGGAATCGAGTACAAGCACTTCCCCTTGCAGTCTGCCAAGTGCCACCTCAGGTGGCCCTCTGATAAAGTCAAAGATGAACGGAAACTCTGCCTCACCACCAATGGGAGAGCTGGTGTCTGAACCCCCAATCATTTAATCATTCACTCATGTGTTCCTTGGGTGGCGGGCACCTCTGTCCCAGGGCTGGCTTCCCTCACACACTGCAACCAGCACTGCCATTTTAGCCATTTTTAAGTGCCTTAAAATTGTAAAGCTCTGATGTACATGATTCTAAGAGAACCCAACTGCCTCATCTGGAGATACCTTCCTTCAGAAAGAGAGGAACTCAACACAACCCTTGAAACTTTAATATTTGATTATAGTAACTTCCCCATGTGTATTATTTTTTAATTAAACAATAAATTTATGTTGTAGCTAGTGCTTACATTGTTGAGGACCCGATTTTCTCGGAAAGCAGAAACAGTAGCCTAGTTCCAACAGATGGCCAGCTGCTTCTCAAGCTCTTATACAGGTATTGCAAACAAGTACTTTAACTACCTACAAATGT